AACCTGGACACGCGTCACGTGGAGATGCTGTCCTGACTTCTGGGGCTCACCTCAGAATGTCCCAATTTCAGTGGCAGCAAACTGAAGGACAGAAACAGAACTGGCAACATGTATCCATGGAGGGGTGGGAAAGAACACCTGGGTGAGGTGTCTGTGACTTCCCATAGAAAATGCTACGGTAAAACATAAAGGTAAAACAAATCGGGACCAGCAGATGACACTATGGCCACATCGCTGGACTCCCACGTAGCCAGCCATGCCAGTCAAGACCTGGCGGCTTGAAATCATGCTGGGTGCACGTGCATGCCCAGATCCCGAGAGAACGGAGAAGGATTGCGGCGTGGCCATCCCGAGGGTGATTTCTCACTTTCCCTGTCTGTCCGTGGTAACCTTCACAAGAGACAGCTGAAGGAGGAGGTGGCCGAGCCAAAAGCTAGGACAAGGAGGGCCACCGCAGCTACACTTGGGAGGAGGGACTGGAAGGTTTCGCTTGGGGGTTCTCCGGGGGTGGAGGGTCTCGAGCACATCCACCTGGAAGGTTTCGCTTGGGGGTTTTCCGGGGGTGGAGGGTCTCGAGCACATCCACCTGGGGACGGGAAAGAACCGACAGGATTTGGGAGTGGGAAGAAAGGGCTGAAGCCAGCAGCAGTCAGCGCCCACCACCCTCACCCACCCAGGCTTCTGAGCCCACGCGGGGTATCCGACCGAGAGGCGCCTCGGTCCCTCGGCAGTAAGGGCCGGTCCTCAGCATACCTGCTGAGCAGCTGGAGGCCTGGGTGAGGCGGCGGTGGCATGGTGGCGTGTCACAGAGACCATCGCTGCTACCCCTGCACTGCTCCTCGGTACCGCGGAGCGAGATGCCAGGAGCACACCCACCTCGGCGGACCCGGGAAACCGGTGGCTAACGCCTGCCTCGAGCTGAGGCACAAACAGGACGTCCCAGCTCCTGGCGCGTCGCCCGTGGAAGGATGGCCTGCTGCCGTTCTGAGTAGCCGCCTGGAGCCCTGAACTCCATCACCTGATGTGACAAAGACCACCACTGTGCAGAATGGCCCCGGTCGCTGTCCTCATGTCTCACTTCCCGGTCTCGCCCGTCTCCCCTCGACCACTGTACTGACCACCCTCGGCTTTCCCATCCCTTGGACGTCGATGGCAGATCTGGAGCACTGACCACGACAGGTGGGTGGCACCGTGGCACGGTGGGGAGTGCTCCACAGACGCTCCCCAGCCCCCGGCAGGCGTGGTGTTGCTCTCAGCCTGCAGCCTCACTTTGAGCTAATGTCATCAAGGAGTAATTGACAATGATCCCTCTCCTCCGTCAGATCTGGCAATTCCAAATATGTTCTAAATGAACCATGGTAATTTCAGAACATGCATGTCCCTAGGCTTTTCCTCACTGGAAGTCACATGTCGCTTTGCCATCGGTATCGAGAATGTCTTACAGCTCAGTCGAGTAAGAGTTACTATCAGAGGCAGGCTGTGCTTCCATTCCACGTAATTACCCGTCATCCTGGACCCAGGATAGCACCCGCCTGGGTGTGAGGGGGAAGGCAGGGACACCTGCAGGTATGGCGGGGTTCCCACAGGTGTCACACAGGCTCTGCCTTGCCCCGCTCCCGCACCACTCAGGTCTACACCGGCCACCTCGAAGGAGCGCGGTGTGGCCATTCCTACAGCAGACACGTGCACGGTCCTCACGGGCGAGGATCCAAACTCCCCAGCTGATGTGGTCCCCTGCACCGGCACAGCCAAAGGCCTTTCAGGAAAGCCCTCAGCACAGTGGGTCCTCCTCGAGGGCAGGGGGACCTGAACTCAGCGCTCAGGGGTTCTGCACTGCCAGGGCTCTACTGCCCGGGCATGTTCCAAGAGCCAAGTTCAAACACTTACCTAGTCCAAGCAAGACACGCGTGCACCTCCTACCTTGAGAAGACATTTCTATGAGTATCTTTAAGTTAGAATTGACACTGCAGTGATGGCCCCCAATCTTGTTTAATCGGTGGCCCACAGCACCAGCCCCACGATGTCCCAAATGCGCAGTGCGCTGGGTTCGAGATGCAGCTGCCCCCTAAGCCCTCTGCATTCACTCCTGTGTGTCTCGTGGGGGCTGTGAGCCAGCACAAGAGCCACGTGGGTGTCGGGTAGAGGTGAGGTGTGCTGTGGGGAAAATGAGTCACTTCCCACTAAAAAAAAAAGTGGGAGCCAGCCCACTGCCTCATGGCTGACTGGATGGTTCTAGCCCAGGACTCGGCCGCTTGGACCCAAGCTAGGCATATGTACACGCATGCCCAAAATCCGGAGAGGAGAGTGAGGTGGAGAAGGGGCCTGGTGACCGGTCCAAGTGGGAGGTGCTTCCTCACTTTGTCTCTCTCTGGCCAGTGCGTACACCCTTTGGCAGTTTTTTTTTAAAGGAGTATATCCTGAAGTCCACAGAAGAGTCGAAGGAACATACCATACCAGTGTGACGTCCTTTGGATGAACTATCTTTTGAATCATCTGAAAACCGTGACACATCAATAAAGAATTAACAGTTTAGTTTACATTCGACCAATAAAAATAAACAACCGTACATCAAGAATGGGATTTAAGCCACCTTCCGAAGTAGGGGAAAAATGTCTTACAAATTCAAGAACTCCAAGATGGTTTATTTATTTCAAATTCCAATAGAATGAATATGTTTTATCTAAATATTTTTTATCACACAACTGAAACATTGAATTACTTTTTCAGAAATAGAGTTAAATACATCAATCTAGTTACAAATTCTAATATAAAGAGTACAAAATATAATGTTATAAATTGTATTTTAAAAAAGGAAATACAAATTCTATGGTCTTTTGCATTTTACTGCCTCAGAGTATGAGTGAAGTTGGTAAAAATGAACTTGCCCCTCGGGTGGGGACCACTAGGTCTCTTCGCACTGCAAGGGGACGAGCTCCGGAATGTGCTCGCCCGGGCAAACGAGGACCTCCTCTCCCTTGAACGCCCAGCCTGGGGTGGTTTTTGTCTTCTGTTGCCCAGTGAATAAAATGTCCTACAACTGGACCCCACCAGAGTGAAAAGCAGTAACACAACGCCCGTTACTTCAGATGCCCTGCAAGTGGGAAGGTCAACCCCCGGTGTTCCCGCAGCACTGACACCTATCGGGACCTGCTGGCTGGGGTGGGGTCATCTAGTCGTCGGTTCTAAAGGAGGAATGTTGGTAAAGAGTCTCTGGTCTCAGAAGTGGAGGAGGGCCTGAGTTCCAGGTGCAGACCGAGAACCGCAGCCCCTTCCTTGATCTGAAAGCCTTCCCCATTCATCCCTAAACTATGCTCAATGTCTTGGTCAAGGAACACAAAGCCACAGAGCCGCCCTCCTGCCAAGGTGCCAGGAGACAACCTGGCCACGAACGGCACACATGCGCCCTCCGCACTTCTGCGTGCTGGCCTTCTGAGAGCCCGGCCACGGCCCAGCCAGGCCGGAGAAGAGGTTAGACCTGCCAGCTCCCTATTGGAAGATCAGAGTCCCCGCAGCTTCGGAGTGACTGTACGTGACCCCAGCTGCTGTCCCCGAGCACCTTATTTTCAGAAACCAGTGTCTTTCTGGGTTTAAAACATAAATAAGTAAACATGGGAGGACCTTCTTAAGACATTTAATACTCTTTAGAACCAGAAAGGCAAAACCCACGCGGCTTGAAAATGCTTACTGGGCTGGACCTCAGGCCACGAGAGGCCTGCGTGGCACAGGCAGACAGGTGGACGGCTTCCCCAGAAGATCCATCAGAGCTGGTGTGTCAGCACTGACATGTTCACTCTTCGGATTATGGAACACAAGCGAGAACCTGAAAGACGCTAGATGCTCATGGCGCGTGCTACCGGAATCCAGAAGCAGGAAGAGACGTGAGCGGGAGGAGCAGCAGTGAGCGTGACAAGGCCGCCAGCGGCCGGCGGGGCGGGCCGGAGCGGCAGACAGGCGGGCCGCTGCAGTTAGACAGCCAAAGCTTTGGTCGTCTACGTTACACTAGACGCAACACTGTAAGGACCCTGTTAAGACACGAGGCGGCGGCAGGCTGGGAGGTAGAAGGAAGTCCGTGACAGTCAGGGGCAACACACAGAAGCGACCCATGGGGAAGTCGTCATTCAAAACGCCATCAACACACTGGCTAATAAATACAGAAACATACATCCCGGTAAATACTACGGCCACGCTGACACAGCGGATTCAGAGCTGAGGCCACGCTGCCGGGCAGCGAAGACAAGAGAGAGCCCCGCCCAGTGGCCGCCCATCTCCAGGCGGCGTCCTCGGGAAAGCCTACTGCTGCTGCCACCAGGACCCTGCTTGGCCTGGCCCAGCTGAGCCCCTGGCCCCGGGGAAGGCGACTCAGCGGGAGGAGAGCCGCTCTCAGCTCTCAATGCCAACTGTGCTCTCCCGTGCCGCTTCGGAAACAGCAAGAATGTAGACTACAACTTTGCGTCACTTTGGGTACAGATTTTCTTTTAATAACTAAAACACAGAGAAACAGACAGGACCGAGTCGCTAGACCCCACACATTCCTAACTGCCACGTTGACCTTCAGCCGAGAAAATAAAGGCCAGAAAAGGAAGAAATGATCACTTTAGGGAAACTATCGAAATGATCAAACATAAATCAACAAGAAAAGGTACTCTGACTTCTTGGGTGGACAGGAATGTGTCTCTGCAACTCTGCTCAAAATAACTGGGCAGAACAGTCATTACAGTGGCCGAACGGTACCTGCGGGCATTCC